ATACATATTTTTTATGTTTAAAATAGAGGCAATTGCACATGAAAAGGATCCTGGTTTTCAAATGGATAGTTCTTATGCATATTAAACAAACGGTGCGCTATGTGGTGGCGGGACAAGACCGTCCAAATCTGTTCTGATACCGGACTAGAGGCGACAAGCATCATCTCATTGTCGGAGCTGCACTTAAGACGGGCTTGAAAGCACCGTCCGGACTTATCACCGGTGTATTTTAATTGCTTGTCTGCATTTTCGGACCTGAAGTGACTGATATGGAGGACAAGATCCTTCAGCAGTTCCTGACCATTTTGGCTTTCTTGTCCTATGCAGTAACAACCAAGACGACACATGTATTAGAGAGGAAAAGAAATTCCAAACGTGCTGATTGGCGAAAATAACACATTTATGATTTGTTTTTATCCAAGGAGCCTAGAGTAATTGTGATCCTATACATCTCCCATTTTTCAGGGTCCCACAGTGACTGTTGATGTGCTTCAGTCACATGGATGCGCCACGCTTTACACCAAGGTGGCCCGTTTGATCATTTCTTAGAGCAATGGCTCAGTTCACCAGCAAATGTTCTTACACGGTTATCTGACCTGCCATAACCCCCTAAGACCATGATTTCAAATGATTGTTTATCTGGACTCTAATGCATTTTCCCTCCATTATTCTGGGAAAGCAGTGCCGTCGAAATGTATCTTTTAATAGCTTGATAGAAAATATGCATTTCTTCCACCTAACTTGTGGTTTTTGTAAAATCTGTAACATGACTGCTGACAGTATTCCTAAAGCTCTCAGATATCGTAAATAGTAAGGTTTTGAAGTCTACAAGTACAGTTGCATTTTGCAGCCATGTCTCTTCACGTGTTTGAATATGGAAGGTTGTGAAGTGATCCTATGTGATGTTCTTCCTCCTGAACACTGGCGCAAAGCGACAAACTGCCTGGTTAAGCTCATGGTTCCAGTTAGTTTTAAACTGCAGCCCGTGTGTAATTCATTTCATTGCACGTTACAAATGTAATTTTTGGGATCAGGTGCAGCAAAATGTTTTATTGATAGCATGATGATTTGGCCACGTGACTGCGCGTCACAGTTGTAAGTTTTTCTCAATCAAAGGCGTTTAATATGAACTTATGTTGCTCACTGTGCTCGTTGTGTTCCCTTGCGACATTTACTGTATTCTCTCACATTATTATAATCCCACCCTCACATATCTTCAGAATTCTCTAATTCTTTCTATTCACTGGTAACAACACTAAGGCACCAACTTCCCGAACTGGCCTAAAATGCTGATGCAGTATTATTGCTTAGTAAGTAGATTATGTAATTTGTGAATAAATGGCAGATTATGGATACATAAGGGAATACTGTAAGTAATGGTAAAAACCAGAGCTGTCAAAGAAACTGACCACATAACACCTAAACTTTATTGATCCTTGGTGTAAAATTCACAAGCTACCCAGCAGTAATTCAAATTATAAGCAGATCAGGTCGTTAAAATTAACTCTGCCTTTACCAGCTGCAGCATTAAATGTGATGTGCACAATAATACCTCAGTAATTCTAATAAACTAATATGATGTACATCAATGTAAACGCTGCCATTCTACATAATGTGTGCTTTTACCTTTGGCACTTTAAGTATATTTGATGCTATGTACTTTTATTTAAGTAACATTTTGAATGTCAGACTTTTAACAGAGTATTTTTACACTGTGGTCTTTTCACTTTTACATAGGTAAAAAAAAAACCTAACACCTTTTTCCACCACTGGTAAAAACTAAATTTAAAGGGGATGGTACTGCAAGATAATGCAACTTCTTTTTACAAAAAAGTTTTTCCATTTTATTGCTGATTGTCCCCTCATTTTACTTTTATGGTGATTGCAGTTTTCTTTTTCAGGACTGTCCTCCCCTTTTATGAAGAATCTAAGTACAAGAAGATTAAAAATAGTGATGTTTCCTGCTTGTTTTGTGTGGTTGTGCATATGTGTGTGCATGTCTGAAAGCTGTTAACTTCTCTTATCCATGTAGAATCCCTGCTCATCTCATCACAGATGGACAGTTGTCTTACCTGTTTCCACTCACTCTCATGGTGGCGGCCTGTGTGTTTGCTTTGCATGTGGGTCATTGTCTGTTTGCGTCTGAGCATATACTTGTAGAGAAGCTTTGAGGCCGATGGTGGGGGAATATTCCATCACTCGTGTCAGTAGATGCTGAAGTGTAGTTGAAGGAAGCTGTCATATTTTGTCTTAGCACAATGTGCAAAGGACTACTGTACCTCTGATCTGACATGTTGAAGTCTTACAGTAACAGCACTGCAGAGGACATAGTCAGTGTGTTGTTGGGGTGGCTTTTAAAATTGATGTGTTAGGTTTACAGTTAACGATGCCAAAGCTGCATTACCAATTTGCATACATTTTATAGGTCTGTATTTTACAGTTGCTTCTAACAGAAAAGGTTTGTTTTTCACTCGTAATAGAAATCTTTTAAGCTGTTAAGCTAATAGACTATATCCTGACTGTAAAACTTTGCCTAAACAAATGTTGGCATGGCAGATGTTGAGTATGGACAAAATCCCAATGCAGTTACTAGAAACAGTTGGATAAAAGCCTCTAGCAACAGGCTTTAACAGCGGATCTCAACTGTATTTAAGGAGTTTAAGCTAATTAGAGCAACATTTTGATTTGATTGGCCACATTCTTTGTAATGTGCTTAGCTGACCCAAGCCAAAGACTTACCTCGCAAACCTTTGTGCTCTTTCTAACATGAAAGTGCACACGTCCTTGCACAAAATCATCAAAGGTACCAAACAAGAAGCAACCTCTGAACAAACATAATCAACAGACAGATAACTGCTTTGCGTGCAGCTGTGTTGATTATTGATGGCAGAGATTGCTCATCCTTCTTGCCATTTCATTGTTATTCACCGTGTGAAATTAAATGCACCGTACACTTAATTCCCTAACCTGATATAGTTCCAATGTTCCTTAAAGTGTGTGAGTACATGGAAACAGGTGTGAAGCAGAGCTCAGCTCTAGGTAGGCCAAACACAAGAGGATGATACTAAAAGAGAAAACGGAGGGAACAATAAATCATTAGAAGAGCAGAGTGAGTGACCACAGTTAAATAGCCAGAGCAGGGAAACAGAGGCACTTGGAAGAAAACGCCCCTATACAAAGATTTTATAGGCTCAGTGCAGCCACCCACTTATAGAACAGGAATGCAGCTTCTTTTTTTGTTTGTCTTACACAGCATATTGATGTATGTTTTTAATATTGCATTGAAACATTTGTGTTTGCATGTTGCTGTGGCATCTGCTGCATTAACTGAAAGCTGATGGACATAAAGCGTAGGTGTAAAGAAGAGTAGATTTGACACCACAAGCAGTTAGGATGTGCCTTATTTACTTTGCCCTTTGTAATGCTTTTCTTATGTGTGTTGGTCATCCCCTCCCTCAGGTTGGGCCTCTGTATGTCATTAGGTTGTGATAGTACAGATGCCTGCAGTGATGCTCTCCTCTCTCTGCCAATAATATGCTGCCTACAAGAGATTAATGGCATTAATTGGTCTCTAACTGTCTTGCGGCATTAAATAGTTTAATAATTTTAACCTGTTGACTTCAGTTTTTGTACCCCATCAGTTCTACTAATTCCTTTGCTCTTACTCCATTGCCTTCAGATTTCCATTTAGTTTTCTGTCCTCTTCATGTGCTCTCCACTTCTCTGGTGTCCATGGACAATGAGCCATGAGTTTGTTTCAGATGGCTGTAAAACCAGGGGTGGATCCAGGCCCAAGGACAGAGGGGCACTGACACCAGCTGAAACTGACTCACAATGGCGCCCCCAAGGGGTGTCCAGGGGGCACATAGCTCCCACCCTAAGATCACTGGCCACCCCAATGCCTATTGTTTTGATCAGAAGCTTTGCAGCTTTAAGTTTCTGCCTATATGTTGGGATGAGATGGACCATACAGTGATCAGAGAGGCCGAGGGCTGCATAGGAG